GTCCAACACTGAAGCTTCGTCATGTCCAACACTGAAGCTTCGTCATGTCCAACACTGAACCTTCGTCATGTCCAACACTGAACCTTCATCATGACATCACTGAACCTTCGTCATGTCCAACACTGAAGCTTCGTCATGTCCAACACTGAACCTTCATCATGTCCAACACTGAAGCTTCGTCATGTCCAACACTGAAGCTTCGTCATGTCCAACACTGAAGCTTCGTCATGTCCAACACTGAAGCTTCGTCATGTCCAACACTGAACCTTTGTCATGTCCAACACTGAACCTTTGTCATGTCCAACACTGAACCTTCGTCATGTCCAACACTGAACCTCCGTCATGTCCAACACTGAACCTTCGTCATGTCCAACACTGAACCTTCGTTGTGTCTGATACTGGACCTTTGTCGTGTACAATACTGAACTTTCTTCTTGTCCATCACCAGACCTTGGTTGTGTCCGATACTTTCATCATTGTCCAACACTGAATATTTTGTGGGTCCAACAACAAACCTTGGTTGTGTTCGACACCGAAMCTTTGTCATGTCCAACACTGAATCTTCATGTCCAACACCAAACTTTTGTACTGTCTGACACTGAATCTTTGTCTTGTCCAACACTGAACATTTAGTGGGTCCAACAACAAACCTTGGTCATGTATGACACTAAACCATTGTTGTATACGACACCGAACCTTCATTGTGTCAGACACCAGATGTTGGTCGTGTCTGACACAGGACCTTCATGCCCACCACTGAACCAGCACCTTTTTAAAGCACTAAAGTGAATTTTTCTGCATAGTACCCCAGTGGAAGACTACTGTAAAAATCACTGCAGTTTTATGGCTACATCTGCAGCTTTGTTACAACTTTTTAAAACCAGTTCAGTATTGTTTTTGTACAGAAATAAAAGCTCTTTGCTAAAACCCAACTTAAGAGATTCAGAGCCTGAACTGAAAGGCCAGGTTCTTCATGTCGGTCAAACAAAAACAACTTCAGTCCACCTAGATTTTCGATTTTCTAATAACAAAAGGGCAGAGAAGCAGTTCTGTTCCCTTTCTTCAGTCCTTAAAGGGCTGAAATGTCACTTTAATTTCTCACCTGTTCATAAATGTATATAGTGTGTTAAACACGTGTCGTCTGTCAACTTGGGTGTTTGGTGCAGATGAGATTTTTACACTTGGATGAAATAGATCTGTCTCTTCAGCACCTCAGTGGTTCTGATCCACATATCACCACAAACAGAACATTCTGACAGTATTCCTCTGAAGATTTTTGTATGTTTATGGGTAAAATATGCTCAGAGTGGATTTGTAGCAGAAGATTGACAGTATTTTTTGAAGCAGTGGTTTTTGTTGTAAAGTGGGTTTTATTCTATGAAGGAATCAACACCGACTGTTTTGATATTGAATATTTTATTCTACCTTTTAGTTTGCTTTTCTAACACTAAAACATTTAGTACAGCTGAAGCTGACGTGTCACTGTCCCTGCTTTTAAAGATTGTAAAATGTACTAACGAGGCGTTCCACTCCTCACTGTACGGTTCGCCTCCTGCCGTCTCATCTTCAGATGCACTCACTGGTTGAAATTAAATAAAATGTGACAAAACCCGCATCCTGCTTCTGTCTGTTTGTTAGCCTGTGCTGCTGGTCTAAAAGTCAACAAATTTGTTTATTCACTTCCCATATATCATCTGTCCTCTCTAGGGGCGGGGCCACAGGGGCATTGGYCCCATCTGAAATCTGATTGCCCACTGAAGTGCCCCTGTCCTTTCACTCACCTGTCTTTGCCCAAGAACGATGAAGTGGCTGCAGTTCCACTTCCAACCACTAGGAAAGTCCAGCATGAAGCAAGCTTACTCTTTTTTTCCCAGAGTCGTTTTCAATTTGAACAATCCTCCAGAAAAGGTTTTTTACAGAGGAGTAGATTTTCTTACATTTTGTGTGTTTGAGAGTATTTTATTTATGTAGAGTAAAAAAAAACAATTGTGTAAAATTGATAAGGAGAATTTACTGTGCAAGCTTTAGTGTTTGAACACGTGTGACTGATTAAATGTATAAACCTTACAAAAACTGTGGATTTGTGTGCAAAGATGTTGAACAAATACTTGRCCCCTCTATGAATATTGTGGCCCCTTAAGCAGAAAAATCCTAGATCYGCCACTGGTCCTCGCAGAGACACTTCAACGACAGCACTCAGATACTGAAACCAACAGTTTTAACCTGAAATTCTCACATGTTCACACCTGTTCAGGAGGCGGGACACCTGMCAGGTAAAAGATCAGTTGTGTTTAAACTGTAAATAAAAATAAAATCAATGATTTTCTAATCTTGTAAATATATGTTTTATTCACAATTCARTTTGAATTTGATGGCAGCAACTCACCTCTGAACAGTTGCTCAGGAGCAATAAAAGGCTGTGAAGACAGTGATGTAAATAAAAAAAAATTGCTGGAATATCTTTTGTAATAAATTAATACAAATCTAATTAAGTCCTACAATCTTATATCCAGCCAAAATGTTTTATCACTTTTTGAGCCTGGAAGTTTTCCTTATTTCAAGAAGTCTTACTGCACTGCCAKATTATTTCACTTAATCTGAGGGTAGCAACTGGTGGCCCGYGGGCCACATCYGGCCTGTGAGTGACCAAAGTTTGGCCCGCCAATTGGTTCCTYTATCTCTTAATCCCAAAYCCCYGGCTTTYTACTTTAATTACTAGACATSGACATCTTTTGTATCTACATAAACGTCAGAGTATTGGCTACAAGCTGGTAAAAACCATTTCAAGAAGCACTCAAGACGGTTAAAACTACAAGCAGTTGGAGATGAAACTATGAAATTGAAAATAAAATTGTTTTAAAATTTTGATAAGTCAGAGATGTCAAAATATTTGTGATAAATAAGAGGTATAATGTGTATTTTTGTTTTTGTCACTACTTTTATAGGGTATGTTGTATTCATGATTAAATACAGCAAAATAAACTATTTCAAAGGTAACATATCTTTGTAATACTTGGTTTAGTTACATAATGACTTGCTGGATGTTTGGCCCCTCAGCTGTTGACCTGCAGTAACTGTGGCCCCTGGAGGAGTTTAGTCGAATAGCCCTGCTTTATAACCTGTTGGGCCACCAGATCAGATGTACTGATCGACATTTATTTACCTTTTTTAATCAGACTCATCTTTGTGTAACAGGGCCAAAATACTCAAAGATGAGGAGCCAGCTTTGTTTTATGGTAATTTTTTACAAAAATGTAGCAAGAATCAGTTTCACTGAATCATGAGTAAAACAATAAAATATAAACAAAGACAAGCACTAAGGGTTCTAAAACAGTTAAGAATGAAAATAATTGTAGAACTGATGTTAAGTTAAGATAAGGTCTGGATGTTTAAACCTTGGAAAATATATTTTCCCAAAGGAAATATTTTTCTTCTGTTAATTAATTGACAAACCTATAAGTTTCTGTAAATTTGGAGAGAAGTTGATAAGATCTGGTCAGATTGTTTATTAGTAATTTTAATCTTACTACAGATCAGAATTATTTCATGCTGTGTAACCAGGACTGTTCTGTGAAACATTTGTGTGTAATGCCTTAATTAGGTACAGATCATCAGCTCACCAAAGTTGGAGACATCCAGCTGTTACAATGTTTCTAAATATCTGACGTGTATACTTGGTTCTTTAGTTGGCAGCTCAGAACATCACATACAGAACACTATGGAC